TGCATAACCTCCAAACACATATGACAGTTTATTAGTACACCCTTAGTCACCACAGCACGCTGCTCTTTATCTGCACATCAACATGAAGGTCCTGACCCTGTGGGGGTCAGCAAAGCAAGCTTTGTTCAATGTCACGTCTTAATGAAGCAAAGCGTGCACTCAGAAAAGCAGGATTAGGGGTTTAGTGAGATAACGTCAGGTTTAGCCTCGGGTTATGAAGGGTTACTCCTCGCTCAGCTCACCATGATAACTTGTGCTCTAATCTTTCTGAAGACCAGGCATGCAAAACGATATACTGACCAGAAAATCTCTGGAAAATAGTTTAACTAGTCCCAGAAAATCTCGAGGACCTGGAAGGATAAACAGCGAAAGGCCTTTACGAGACCATATGAAGTTTCTCTTGTTCCCTGACAAACATCAGTAGCACTTTTAAAAAAGCTACAAGGCTTAAAATATGAATGTAATCCTTAAACAGGGAACCTAAAAATTTATCCTGCATTGAGCGTTTAACGTCTTTGGACTGTCTTCATGCTGTAGGTTGTAAAATTAGCAGTTTCACTCACTCACTCTTAGCTTGATGTGAAACATATTGAGCTTATTTGCAAGACTGTCAATATTTGCATAAGTGAAGTCATCGACGACAAAGACATCCTGTTAGCGTTGAGCTTATTTCATCGTGCAGACTCCAGGTCTGTGTTTATTGGTCCTCTGCTTTGAGGCAAAGACAGGAGAGTCATCAGATAACGTAGCTAACCCTAACCCTTCCAGCCTTTAAAGGGTGGCACATGTGCAGTGTGCTACATATTTCATGCAAAGTTCATGAATTTTGAACAGGTAAATGACAAAATTACATGCAAAATGCTGCATTTTGTAAATATGACTTACAGAGCCTCTCATCACAGCTTAAACCAAAGACTTTTATACTGAAGACAAGACGTATGAGCACAAAACTAAAAGCCAGCGCCTGATAAAAATCTGCTGCTGTTAGCTGGGTCTGCTTACCTCACACTCCATGCTGGCAGTGGGCTCTCTTTTTAAACTACTGTGAGCAGTTGTCGTGTCTCTTCGTGTTTATTCTTGTGCACATCTCTGCTACATGTTGGCTTATTCGTATGAACTCTCTGTTGTAACTTTGTTTTTGGCTGTTTTGCGTTCTTTTTGTTGTCTTTTGTAGCTGTCTGTTCCGCCCTCATCGGTTTCACCTGCACCCAATCAGCTCGTCCGTCGTCCTGTTTACCCTCCAGCTCTCTGTGTGTCCCTCATATTTACCTTCCTGGATTCCCGTTTCATTTGTACCAGATTTTTGTTCTTTCCAGGACTTTTTGTAAGTTTTGTTTTTTTAATCAGCCTAGTATTAAAGCTTACTGTGTCTGCATGTGGGTCCTCACTTTATTATCTCATAACAAATGCAGCTACTGAAAGACATGAAACGCACCATCTGTCGCTCTGCTTCACCTAACAGGTACCGACCTTTGTGTTGGTTTATCTTTAATAAACGGGAACAGTCTGATTAAGGGGAAAATGCACAGACAGAAGACAAAAAGAGAAACACAATGGTGTTTTTCTCTTATTTGCTTTTGCGGTAATTTAACAGTTTAGTAGTTGCTGCAGGAAGGAGAAGATAAAATCTGTTAATAAGATTCAAAAACTGGGACAAAGGAATCAGGGCACGCCGGTCAGACGGTTCAGGCGTGACTTTGCGATGAATACCCCGAGAAACCAAACCGTTTAACATTACGCATCTGTGTTTGTGCGTCCGGGTACAACAATCCACTTCAGCATCTCGTAAAATGACCATCAGCTGGAGTCACTGTCTGAATGACCGCTGTGTCTGTGATCGTGACTGACCACAGCGAGCTGTTCGCTGACTGGCCTTTGGTTGCTTTTGTCTCACTCACACACACACACACCCAGCAGATGAGAAGTGTGTTTTCCAAAGGTTATATAGTGAGCTTTTAACCCTGAAATCAGAACACGTCTTTTTGTCTAAATATTCTAGTCTGACATCATACAAAAGCACCCTCTCAATCAATGACTCTCTTTCTTCTGTCATATTTCAGTCCAATAAATACAAACTGATCACTGTGTGTGTGTGTGTGTGTGTGTGTGTGTGTGTGTGTGTGTAGTGTTGTGCGCGGTGTTCTCTGTGTAAATGTGCACACACACAGACACACAGCGGTTTAATGAGAAAAAGGTGCAAGCAGCACAATGGCGTTCAATGCTGCCAGACCACTGGTCCGTATCTCATACTCTCCCCTCCCCCAGCGTCTCCCCTCTTTTAGTTCCACATCTGTTTCCCAAACTTTGGAAGGGGCCTTGAAGAGCACAATATCTGGGTCAGAGTAAACTGCTTCTTTGTGCATATGCAAGTGTGCAATAAGGAGTGCACCACACACAAAACGTTGTCACACACCCTTTGAACCTGAACATGTGGAGAGTCTCAGGTGTGTGTGTGTGTGTGTGTGTGTGTGTGTGTGTGTGTGTGCGTGCGCAGGTTAACAGTTATTCTAAAATGGCTTGGATAAAACGCAAAGATGTCATCGGCATCCTGTACAAATCTTAGAGAAAGGGGGGTTAAAAGCGGAAAGAAAAGGAAGTTTAATTTCCGGTAGACAGCCTGCATAACTCACTGTGTGCATAGTTTTCCATTTTATTCTTATAGAAGAATAAACAATAAGTGTTTCGAGCACTTTTCCTGTGAACTGAAAGCTAAATCCAGATTTGGGACGTCTTAAATTTAACCTGATAACTTAATCCTCATTCTCCACGATCACAGTTTGAGCAGCAAATCATGAGGATTCATCCTTTTCTCACTTCTGTGAAGCGATAACTTTAAGCAGTGAGCAGAGTCTCAGTGTGGGATGGTCAGCACTGTCACATCACATCAACACGGTTTCCAGTTCAGACCTCCTGGTTGCTCTGACAGCAGTTTGTAGGTCTGAAGCCATGTTTATTAGGTTAACTGGGGATTGTGGCGATTATGGTTAAAGTGTGTGTGTCTCTTCCACAATGTGTATATATGCTGCCACCTTATGGACAAAACTAGTATTGCAGTAAAAAAAAAAAAGATTGAACCCGTAATGAGTGAATATATTTTAATGGTCACGACGTGGACGGGAAACAACCCAATATGACAGAAAATAAACACAGTTTACTCCAAGTGTTAACAAACGAGTGTTAAAGAGGATTTTTAAATACATTTAAATTGTTTATGTGTAAAATATTGTACATATAGAGATAAATAATAGTTTCAAAGGTTATTTTAGTTTTTACTGAATAATTTTTATTATCTTTGAAAATTATGGATTTAGTTAAAAATGATGTGACGATGTAGACATAAAAAATAAATATTAAAAATAGTATTTACTTTTGTATTTTACAAATTGTATAAGCCAAACAACACAAGCACAAGTTAACAGACTGAGCTGGGACAAAAAGGGGTTTTCGGTTAGAATTAAACTTCAGGATTTAAATTAAAGCTGAAATGTGGTCAAATGTGTTAAAACAGCATGAGTCCACATTCTTTAAAGGACTCCTTCGGTCTTTGGCACATTTTCTCAGCCTTCTTTCTTGGGATATTTTTCCTTGGCCAGTCTGACAAAGTCCTCAGCGCTGTCCAGCAACACCAGGCGGTCCTGAGAGAAACATCAAGAAACACAAAAGTAGTTAAAGACTGTTTAGCAGACAGATGTAGTCGGAGGAAGAGGCACAACAACAAAACAGCAGAGATATGAGAGTAGACGTGAAAGAAGAGTGAAGAACGGGGAGGGTAGAAAGAGAGGAACTGTAGTTTATAAACAGGAGCTTCTTTGTAAGAATCTCTGAACATAACAGCGAAAATGCAGCCTAACAAGATTAACCTTATCAAGACAACATTCTACTGTGAAGCATCCTTTCCTTCTATTCTTGATCAAGAAGGAGTTAAAAACAGACGGTTGGAGTATCTAAGAGCGAGAGTGGAATTGTCATGGTGGGCTGTGTGGCAGGCAGGCAAGCAGGAAAAAGGACCCGAAATGCAGGACTCTGGGAGACAGGACTTGAACTCAAAACACAGCTTTAATGCTGGAAAACCTCCTCATAAAAATAACTCTAACAGAAACAAAACAAAGTACGAACACGACAATCACACAGCTTGGAGAGAGCACAACACGACAAAGCGCACAGGAAAACACAGGGCTTATATACACAGGGGAGTAATCAGGGAATGGGCAACAGGAGGCAGACACAGCTGAGAGAAATTAGGCTAACGAGACAGGGGGGAAGTAAAACTGAACACACTGACATGAGACATGAACTTTCAAAGTAAAAGAGGAAACCAGAAACAATTCACAAAAACACAAACTTGACACTGAGTGGTGGACAGAAAGAATATAACACATAAAACAGAGAAGAAGAATAACCCTTAATACAAAATCAAACGAGCACAACTTAAAAACCCGAACAAATCATAGTTAAGAAAAACACCAAAACAGAAACAGGAAAAGCCGGGTCGAAAATGACCCAGAACCGTGACAGGAATAAAGCAAAAGTTCATTTCCCAGCTGCCAACCCACACTTGGCTTTGAAAAAGCAATAAAAGGGCCTTAAAATCAGTTCTGCATTTGACAGGAAGCCAGTGAAATGTTTACTGCAGCAGCTGCAAACAACGCAGTGTGAACTGAGCAATATTCTGGAGTTGAGAAAAGTGATGGACTTCAATTTAACAATGTTCAGAAAAAAGCTGAAAAAAGTAGCAGAATTGAATCTTGAATCAGTGTCACTCCACGATTCCTGAAATGAGCATCAAGGTTGGATGATACTGATCTTAAATGGCTACATTAGGGTTCTCAGAGGACCAGACAGGATCCTCTGTCTTTTAATCCTGCAACTGAAGAAAGAGGATGGACCCATTACCTGCAGTCACTGAAATTCAAAAGCAGATATATTTATATTTAGAGAAGTGTGGAGATGTGTACAGCAAATAGGGTCTCGAGGGGGTTTATACCAGTAAATGAAAACAGGCCCTAAATGGAGCCTTGAGGTACTCCACGGGTGAAGAAGACAAGCTAACTAGGTCTAAATTCCAGCCATATGAAACTTACAGAAGAGCAGACTCTGTGTTATGACAATCAATGAAGCCTGAAAATCCATACACCCATTTTCTGGGTACGCCGTGAACAGGTTTACAGTCCATTTTTACACGAATGGGAGCTTAGATCCATTCACCAGACTTTTTGTTTTTAAAACAGATAAAACATACTGCAGTGTCCAATATTTCTTTTAAAAAGTAGGAATAATGTCCAGGGACCCGTGGTTGACAATGTTATGGATGCGTGTTTGCGTGTACCATGATACAGAGGTATCGGTTCTGGTGTCCTGTTCCAGGAGGGAACAGAGAGGTGTGGTCCAGCAGCTGTGTCAACAGTTCAGTCGCTTTGTTAAGATGTTCTTCATCCCGACTGAATCGGCTCTGTTTGTTCACACACAGCAAGGCGTCCACCTCACACTGGTAACCTGCAGGGATCCAAAGAGATGAGCAGCGGGAAGAACGGGGAATTACACAGGCAGCAGAAAAGAGCGGAAACAACCGAGAACTCACCGAGCTGAAGCAGGATTTTCTTCCACCGAGCTCTGACCTCTCGTTTGGCATAGCGCAAGGTATGTATGTCATAATTCAACTTCTCCCATTCCTGTAGACAAACACAAGCACTTCCTAATTAAAATATACTAATGATGATGCAACTTACAACTGAGGGAAATTATATTTCTGCAGTGTATTCAATTTAAAAAAGCACAAATGTCAGCCTCATAAATCAGCCTCATAAATCAGCCTCATGAATCAGCAGAAAGTTATTTACCAGTCCACCCACACCTTCCACTTAAGAGCCGTCAGTTGTCCTCAGGCTTTATGAATCGCACATGTATGAATAACAAAATGAATGATGGCTGAATCCTGTTTAGTATTTTCATGACCACAGAGCCATTTTTACTTTTTGTTTCGTCAGACGTTTACTTATTATTCTTTAGTGACCCAATGTCCTCGTTGAAAGGTATATTTTATTTTATGGGTTTAATATTTAGCAGTTTGCTTTTTGGACGTGTTATTAGGAGCTTCTTGTGTTAAAGGGTTGTCTGTGTAAATGATTTTTAAGCTGCAGGTAAGTGTGTTTAATGTTGGAGTTGCTATCAGAGGACTGGAAACTGTAGAATCATTGTGGTATTTACTTTGCTTCAAACACAACAGCCCACCTAGTTTGGTCAAAACGGGGGTCCCAGTTTTTGGACACAGTATAGAGTGGTGGGGTGCTACACCCTCACAGTTCATTCATCTCTTGTTCCTGTTTTACTTTGGAGGTTAGTTATGTCTTATTTCAATGCCCCCTCTGTCTCTTTGTCTTGATTGTCTTCACCTGTTCCTCATTATCTAGTGTGCCGATCCCAAATTTGTAGATTGGGCGGGACTATTTATACACATGTGTATAAATAGTCCCGCCTTCTTGTTGCAACATCGTCTGTGCTCTATCAGTGTAAGTTTCTGCCTTTTTGTGAAACACTTTTGCTGCTGTATGTTGGATTACGTGGTTTTTTTTCTTTGCGATAAGCAGTAGGTGACTGAGTTAAAGAAATAAAAAGGGCTTAGCTATTAAAGTTGACTTTTATTAACTCTGTCTCCCATGTTTTGCACTTTGGCTCCTCACACATCCACACAGCCACTGTGTTTGTCTGGGAGTTAAAATATTGTTAAAAGTCCACTCTTAAAAATTGAAAGTTGTCTTTAAATTATACAGAAAAAACAGATTTTAACTGTAAAGTATAAAATACACAAAGTTGACAGAGTGGTATGTCCTACTTCATCTTCTAGATAACCCCCCACCCCTTCGGCCCCCACCACTGTGAGGGCTCTTTAATGTTTCAGGCCTGCTGAGTTTTTTGTTTTTGTCCTAATATTAAAAGCAGTCCCGCAGCATGCTGAGAATTGTGCAGTGAATATTCTCTTTGACCGGCCTGCCAAGCTAATGACCTACATCTCCATCAAGGAGTTCATTTATTTACACAATGTGCCCACTGTGTCCTGCAGCCTGACGTGTGCACTAAACTCAAACGCTCACTGAGCTGCGGTCCTGAAATTCTGAGAAAACAGCCTCTGTCCTGATGTGTTCCCTCTGCGCAGAAATGAAGCACGACTCAAAAGTTGAGAAAAAACAAACCAATAAACTTTTTGCTTGTTAATGTCACCAAAAAACCCTCAAAAATAAGGATTCAAAATCAAAAGTCGAGACGTGCTGGGGTTTGTACATCCACCACCTCCAAACACAAGCACACTGACAATGATGGAGTCTAACGAACGAATAAACAGCAGTGATAGGTGCTGGGTGACTGAGTAAGTAAGGAGCACGTGGTCTCTGTGTGTCGTTTGTGCGTTTGTGTGTCGGTGCTCAATCACTAATTGACCCGTGGTCACATTTGCTGAATAGCTGTTTTTAGACAGCTGCATTCTTTCTCATTTTCTGAGTGAGAGCAACAGCTCTTCCTCTGGCCTCGCACTTTCTCAGCTAATCTAATCTAACCAAGGCTTTTATGCATATTCATAATTATTATGGCTTGTTTGTCACTGAAACACTATCTGTGGCACTATTTCATATTATTTATTGACATAAATCAGGCTTCTATGAAAGTCACCTGTGTGTCTGCCCTTTTTAGATTATTACATTAGAGATCCAGTGGAGAGCAGATGGGAATTTTCTGACAGCATCCAGTCACGAGGAACTCCAGTTTGGCCGGTAAATGTTGGGTTTTGTTTGTGTTTTTTGAAAGATTCCTTAAATTCTTAATTTAAGCTGCATTCACTGGAATTTAGACATACCTCGACGTCTTTTAAAGTGCTGGAGAATACACACTAATATTAATAAAAAATACCCTATTATATAGTTTTAGTTTAATCAGCCAAATGCTTATAAGTTATATAAGTTTACAAGCTTAAGTGGCATGTCCTGTGAGCAGATTGACTCCTATATGTTACACACCCAGATGAGAACAGATTGTTTTATAAATATGTTTTTTCCCAGTTTTGCGATAAACGCTGCTGTTTCATTACGCTTATTTCAGCGTCTGTAGTGTACAGCATGTTTTCTGTCACCTCCGTAGCCTCGTCAGTCTGGTCTCTCATGCTGATGAAAGCCTGTAACTCTCGATCCAGTCCCTGACTGATGGGAGTGTTTTTGGCTCTGTCTGCGATGGCCCGCTGATCAGCGGTGCTCCTCTGGCTTTGCTGGTTTTTCCACTGACTCGTTTTTGAAGGTGGTGGTCCAAATATGTTCTTCTCTTCTGTCTCACTGTCACTAGACCCACTGGATAGCTGCTCAAGTGGCCTGGGAGTGCTGTGCATCCTAGAGAGAAAGAAATAAAACTAGGATACTATAAATGTGTACTTTGGTGTATTAAAATAAAGGGTGACGAGTTGGGATTGTAACAGTTTTTCTAACCGCAAAATAGCATTCCTCTCTTCTTGGTTGTGTTTCAGATAGTGACAGCAGCAGATGGTAAACTTAGCTCCCATTGGCTCTTTCCAAAAGTTTAAAAAAAAAAAAAATGGATATTGATCCTTCACAATAAAATCCCAAAACAGCCTTTAGTCAAAGATTTCTTCAAAAATCCCCAAAAAACCAAAACAAAAAGGGCACAAACTCCAAGCACGAGCCGATCCTGTTACGTGCTTCCTTCTGTCCGAGGCTGAATTCCCTCCCTCGGTCAATTACATTATCCACGTGAAAAAGAAACAGGGGTAAACAACAACACACTCACACAGGATACTCCAGGGATGAATGGCACACTCAGTAAGTCCTGATGGTCCAGATTGCAGTGGCGAAGGCAGCAACACTTCAAAACTCACACTTCTTGAGTTTACTGCTCTGAAACTGGAAGTGTGATTTTTGTTATACTTAAACATGTGTCTCATTACATGAAGCAGAAAGAGGCCTTTTATACCGATGCTTTATTAATATCTGCTCTCACATCCCTCTAATACTCGAGTCTTCTGTTTGAAAGTCCTGTGTGATCGTTCTGGAGCACAGCGCTGCAGTCTGGAAGATTAAAGCTGTCCCTGGGACATTAAAACACAGTCTGGAGTGAGCGTGATCCACAGTTAGGAGCAGTGTGTTTCTCACCACAGGAGTCATCACCTGAGACGATGTGATGACTAGTTTATGGATGATTTCAAAAGATTGCATAAGAAGTCAGATGTTACGTTTTCAGATAAATATTTAATGCACTTCTTTACAGTCTTTTTGAAGGAGACCTGTGGCTCAAGACGGATCAGCTGAAGGTCCAGAAGCTTCTCTCAGGTCTTGTGTCAGGCTTATTTTTCCTGTTTGTTGAAGACGTGACTTTCAGATGTTCGTGTGTTGAAGATATTTTGGACAGATTAAGATAAAGATACTAAGATATCTGCTATGTGAAGACACAAGACTGGTCCATCCCTTCTTTTAATGCTTCAGTGAGTCATAAGTCAGAGTTAACAAACATCTGGGCAGGTACGAAAAGGAAGGAAATTATAGATTTTTCAAAATGAGAAGTTCCTGTCTTCCACAGTAGATGGCAGCACCACCCCATTTTACTCTTTCTCGCCCATGTGGGCCCCTCTCACTCAGACACTCTGGTTGTGTTTATTTTTATTATGAGCTGTCGATGAAGCTTGAGGATTCGTCATACAGCATCGTTACCTCCTCAGCCATGAAAACCTTGCTATCACATCTGTTTCTCTTCGCTTCCACCATCAGGTTTGATTAGTCATCAAGAAGAAAGTGAAAAACATGTTTTGGCTGTGTTTGCTTTTGTGCATAGTTCCTGCACATTATCACAGCGACTAAATTATTTATTTTCTTCATAAATTTCTGGCACATTTACATGAAAATTTACATTTCAAACATCAAAGTGCTCTAAGACTCTCTCTTGTGGGTTGCTGCAGTATTTAAAGTGGGCTATAGAAAATAGGACAATAATGGAATTATTTAGAAAACTGCAGACACGATGGAAAACATCTGCACGAGCCAGTGAGCGTGAGGATCTGAGGGGTTTATGTATTTCTTTCTTAAACAGTCCAAACGTTACTCAGTTCACGGCCTCTGGTGTTGGGAAGATCACGCTGCGCCTTGCCTGCTGTGACGTGGATACATACTCTCATTGAACTCCTTGTTTACATGGGATATGATTTCATACAGTGTGCTGTTTGCATGCTGTACTGCACCCACACTTCTAATTAGACTAGTGTGACATGTAAAAGTGATGAATGGTTCTCGCATTTGTCTTCTTCAAGTTGCTGTCTTATCCGGCGTGTTTGAGCAGCTCTCTGAAGACGGATATTTACCATCTGCCGTGGTTGCTGTTGTTATGTTGCTCGTAGTTCTGAACGAGTTTGCATTAAAAAGAAAAGTGTCCTGGGAGGAGCGTTTCAGCCTGGACGCGGATGACTTTGGAGAGGACACAAGTTTACATCTCTACGCATTTACATCTCAGAGGCCGGAGTGTGCAGGAAGAACTCAGACACGTGCGGTTACACGGTTTATGAAATTTGGGCCAGTTTTGCTCTGATCAGAGTGTCTATGTGGAGCACGTGGAGCGCTCCTCGTGTAGCTGAACCTTTTCTACCATGCAAACTCATTTTGGCATCGACTCGAAGAAGACTGAAGTGAAAACAAAAAACTAAGCCATTTGTTTATTGTAAAATTTACTCTCTCACGTGTGTGCAGGTTACCGCTGGCGAGTTCAGGTATATGGATTTTCCCTCAAACATCGCCTCCCTCTCCTCTCGCTGTCTGAGATTTATATTTCCAGTGTGCATTCTCTCCTCCTACCTCACTGACTGCTGGACCACCAGCTTTCTTTCTTCCTTTTTTATACACACAGACACACACTGGGCCAATGGCAATGTGACATTGACATAGTGCAGTTGAATACCTTATGTGAGGGTGAGTGATGGACCCTGATGGCTGTTGCCTCAAGGTATGTGTGTCTGAGTGTGCGCACTGTATGTGAGCAGCAGTGGAAATAGCATTATATTCCAACTCGACACAACAGGTCAAACACCAGGGGACGCAGAGAATAATAAGTAGGAGCAATGACATATACACACACTCGTACGCAACCCATCAGGGAACAAACTCCTCGCTGCTCCATCACTTACATTCATGAAAGAGGCGCTCACACATGACTTGGTGAGGAGAGTAGAGCTTCCTGACACACACACACACACCCACCCATGAACAGAAGAACTGGGCAGGGATTCAGAGACACAGATTGAAGGTGATTATAATTCACAGTGAAGTCTGGCTGCTTTAGTTATCTCCAGCTCATCCATCTAATGTGTGTGTGTGTGTGTGTATGCATGTGTGGTTGAGCACTCATCAAGGTAGCAGGGGGAAAACACCACCAGGAAACATATAAATCACAGAGATGGGGGAGTGAGACAGTGAGGAAGAAGAAATCAAGACTAACTGAGAAGAACGAGGTGAAAGAAGAAACGGGAACAGAGAGGAGTGCGGGGAGTAAAGGAGACGATGAGAAGGAGAGTGCAAAAATAATAAGCTCTTCACCAAAAGTGATAGTAAGCAGCAGTAACTTACACTCACAAACAAATGTTACAGCTATCACAGCTCATGGAAATAACCCATGTCTTAGATTACCTACCTGTTTGAAAGTTGCGATGAATCTGAGGTAAGTGCTCACACCAAACCTGCACCACACAGGCTCTTCTTATAAAGAGGAGGTTAATAGATGTGTAGTTACGCACAGTGACTGTCAGGTGGAGCTTTTGTGTAGTTTATTATTTAAGTTTATTAATGTGCCGCCAATGAGCCACAGCATCTAAGCCACCTGCGTCTGAAACAGCTTAAACCCGCCGTGCCACAAATCTCCTCTTGGGGTAACGGCGATGCTCGGCGATGCTCGGTGCTCGCTCGGTGCTCGCTCGGTGCTCGCTCGGTGCCGATTCTCTGCAGCTTGTCCTGCTGATGAAATGGTCTCTTCTATGGGGGCGTGCCGTGGCTATAGAGGTGTCAAAGATCTGCAGCAAAGTTTAGCATCTTCTTTTCTGTCTATTTCCTGTTCCTTTTCATCTTCTTCCTAACACACGTGTACCACACACATTCACATGATGAATACAAGTGCGTGTAAAAGGGCTCCACTCAGTGGGGACCGACGGGGCATCTTTGCCGCACATTTTTACTGCTAATCGATGGAGATGACACCATTTTTTTACACGTCGTCACTGCTGATCAATGAGAATTATGCCATGCTTTGTAGCTGTCACCGGTAATCAATGAGGGTGGTGCCATCATCTGCATCTTCTGATCATTACAGCCGGTGATCAATAATAAAACTGGCTCAGGATGACACGCGATTATCATAGACCAGCAGTCCATGATGATAGGTTGATAATGTGTATGTGTGCGAGAGAGAGCTGTGCCACAGACTGACAGCCACAGACGGAAAAACACAGACGAAGGAGAAGCTGACACGGAGATCAGGAAGTGGTCATATTTCAAACCATCGTTCTGGCACGGCTAATAAAACGGTGCAGCAGACACAACACCGCCACCCTTCCTTCCTTTTCTAAATGAGATGTTCATGACTGTCAGAAGGTGAAGTTATTTACTGCTGTGCTCTGGTAGGAATAATCAGAATCAGGTGTGAGGACACTTGGAGGATCTTATCTATTTAAATCTACCTGAATTTATGTTTTTGTACAGACAGTCTGTTTGCATGCGCTCAGCCTCTGATGTTCTCCTTCTCAGGATGTCAAATGTGGCTGTTTTGGCGTGTCAGGGGTGTTGTTCATCACATATGTGGTTCAGGAACTGTTGTTCTCACATTTGAACACGCTGGGAAGCTGAGGACAACGTTTGAGTCCGGGACAATGCTGTGGAAGTAAAGCAGAAAAGCTTTCACTCGGAGTCGTCTTTCTCACTTCATAAATGTAGAGAGCTCTTGATGTAAATGTGGTAAACATTCAAACTCATATAAAATCAGGTACCTTGAGCAGACTTTATTTTTTCTGTCTATGCATTCATGCCACTGCGTCTCCCACGACTTGGAAGTGATAACATTTCCTTTGCAGCTACATGGTATTATTTTAGAGGAAGACATGTAGTGGGTGTGGTGCTGGTTAAACATGAAATATGTGCAGCCTACTTGCTTCTTACAGCTGTTATTTTAACCTTTCTAACTGACAGCTATTTTTCATCTGTGAACAATTACGTCTTCTTGAGCCTCGAAACAAAGAAAGACTTATTGCCTCAACTTCCTGCTTGTTACACCCACTCTAACAGTTGACCCTGCTGTCTCCACATGAGATAACTATGAAAATAACTCACTTTAGTGTTCATGCACCAGCAGATAAAGCAACAAAGAGACTAGAAAACAAGAGTCGGGAAGCAGGCTGATAGAGAGGGACGTCGCGGTGGAATAGAAAGAGGCAGACAGACAAACAGAGACTGCACAGCAATCATGCCAGTCACAGACCATCACCGAGAGGTGACTAGGCCATCTGCGTCTCTGCCTGACTGTAAAGTA